GTTTTCTTTCTTACCCAAGCAGGAGATAAGCCCTTACTAAACCCTGAGGAATGATTTCTCAAAGCAGTACTTTTCACTGCTTTCTGAAGAGGTAAATAACTAATCACATCAAAGCCTAGAGCACCTCAGAGAAGCTATTCCACTCCTGGTCCCAGACAGGTTGTCTGCGTGGTCTGGCACTGAGCTAAGATTAACAATGGCACTTTATTAAATGGCAAGCAATGGGATGTGGGCTTCTTTATGACATACTAATAATGAAAACACAATGCTGGCCAACAGCCAGGATTTAAGGCTCTGATTTGAGCAAAGATAGGAAAGGGCCAGAGGCATAGAAACAGCTGAGCAGATGTGCATTGCCTGGAGCCCTCCCTTGAGAACCTTCTCATGCTAGTGAGTATAATTTACAACATAAAGCATAGGATCTTGCTATGATACAATCCTGCTCCAGAAGGATTACTGTCCAAGTAAATAAGAGACAGAAAAGCATCATTTCCTCTACTTCACACTTACAGAACATACACTTAGAAATATTGCAGTAGAAACAAGAACCACACCCAAGACTCTTGTTCCTTTCCACTGTCTGAACTCAGAGACCTCCCTTTCTCTATAGATCTTAACTGTGGAAAACCATATTGGGTGGGATGCTAAAGGACATTTCATCCTCTCAATAGAGAATGAAAACTAAGTCAAACACTGTGACAGATTTTTGCCTATTCTGTTCCTAAAACCCTAGTGACAGATATTCATATCAGGCAGTCTTTCACCTTCCTTCAGAAACACAAAGATTGAGATTAAACAGCTCCCCCTTCCCCAGCTTCACAGCTCATGTTATCTACACTCGTGTCCTTCTCACTGCTTTCTCCTGAACTTTCTGATTACTCCAAAGCTTTTAAATTGGACACGTGCACCTCCAGCATATCTCACCAGAGCTCAGGAGAAAGATTGCTTCATGAAACTTAGATGTCACAGTAATCCTGCCCTGTCCATCTGTACCTGCTAACATACTGCACTTGTTCACTGTCTCTCCTTGGACTGTTAGTGGTCTCCAGGTTTAATTCTTCACTGTGGTGCATTCATTTTCTCTGAAGGGTAAGGGAAAATACCTCCTGTCTGGCACCTCTGCTTCCCTCTGCTCCAAAATGATGTCCTCTAACAAGGGTATTACTCATAGATGAGTTGGTACTTTGAGTACAGTGTTAATGACGGAAACTATGAATATAAATCTATTCTGTTGTGCATTTAAGAGCTTGGAACAAGCCACAGGTATGGAGACGGTATATGTATCAGTGGAAACAAAACCCTGGGTGGAGTTCATCTCTCTTCCCTCCCCCAAGTCAAACTCAATTTTCCTATTGATCGAGTGAAATAGAGTTGCCTCATCCTCAGACATCTAAAACACGTCTGCTGAATCATGGTCTTTAAGGGTCTTTAGTAACAAAATACTTCCTTTATTCATTTAGACTTCACTCTCTTCTAACATCCTTTGTTACTTAGGGAAGGGCCATGGTACAACCTGACACTCGGGTCTCTAAAGGGCTCAGTGTTAGCTCAAGACCTCCAAGCAGCCTTCAAAAATAAGGGTTACATCTACAGAGCAAGTAGCACGGGTGCCAAGAAGACTGTGCAGAAAAGGAAGCTAAGCATTGACAAATCACCTCTCACTTCTGCAACTGGAAAGATTCTCAAATCAGCTGGAATTTTCATCTCTCCCCCCTCACCTTATGAATTCCTCTTACGGATCATTCGTTCTAAACCAAAGACTGTAAATGATGCAGTAGCTGGAACTGCCACGAGGTAAGGATGAC